GTCAAGTTGATATACAGAAGATCTGAATCAGACTCATAATTTTGTTGGGAGTGAGATGCACAGAGATTTTTGTTTTGAAGTCTCACACACAACTTGGTGTCAAGTGAAAATTTGACTAGGCTGGAGTGATGCATCAAAACACCTTAGCAAGTTGTTAAGTGTGAAAGGCCTTTGCTTTGTCTCTGTAGGAAACTGATCTGCAGTGCTCACACCAAGACAAAGATATGCTCATGATAAAATCCCCACTGTGTGGAAGTCAGTGGTGGATCTTCCTTGTGTAATCAGTGACAGAGAGAGCACACCAGGTCTTCTGCCTTGGAGCCTGCTCTCTAGCTGCTTGTATAGAAAACTGTTACCATGTCTTATTGCAAAATTTGCGGCTGCTGGGCATCACCCCCTGGAAGAGCCTCTCACTTTCAGTAATGAGAGAGGAAGTCTGAGGAGATGAGTTTCCTTAAGTTACCCACCCAACAGCCTAAGCTATGCTGAGTACTGAACAATAGCTGGAAGAAATACCCCATCACTCCTTTTCTTCCTGTGCATGTCGTTACTTAATATGTAAACTAGTGAGAGAAATCAAATAAGCCTTTAAACTACAAAAGGTCGTGTGTGATGGATTCATGTGCAATTACCACATTGTTGGTTCCTGTACATTTGTCACATTTCATTTGCTTTGCCCATGTGTGTGCACTCTTCCTGGAAGGCTGATCTTTTAAATATACTTTTAATCCTATTAGGGGGAAAGTATTGACTTGATTATCAAAGAACGAGCCAGTCTTAGGAGAGCTTTTTACTTTCTAGTGTTTTATGAATAAGGAATCTTCAAATTGCCATTAAGTATTATTCAAGTGAATAGATAAGCTATCCAAGGAAGCAAGAAATTTCCAACATGCAAATTTCGAAACCCACTCTTAGGAAGATGCTTTCAAACTTATCTGCTGTGTAGATAATTTGGGCTCCACTCTGGGCTTAGCTGAAAGGGTTTGGACCTAAAAACAACGTTGGGAGGAATCTCAGTGGAGCAACTCCCAGGCATTTTGAAGGGCTTCCTACATCCTCACAGGAGTTTTGCTTTGGCTATAGGTAGCAGTCCCCTCCACCAGGAGCACCACATCCTTCAACAGTACCCCTGTTGGCAGCAGGGTACTTACTGATGTACCACAGCGTCTTGGCCTGGTGCCCATGCTACCTTTCCAGTGTGCTTGCAAGGCTCTGTGGGCCTAGACCTCATGCTGGTTGGAGCCACTTGGTTGGAAACAGTCCTCTAGAGGGACATACTTTGTCCTTCTGATCAAGTAAGCTTATTCCTCTCTTTCTCCCATACCAGCATGTGCTACATGGTTTAGATTTTGTCTGACCAAGGGAGAATACCTCAGCAGGAGGTTTGGTTGGCTCATGAATAGCATTAGGACCAATTTGAGACACGTTTCTTTTGTGGGAGAAGGTATATAGCAAGATATAAATTGCATGAAACAGTCTTGTACTGATTTGCCTGCCATCATCTCTTGCTTTAGATGTTCTTGTTCTCAAAAATGCTCCTAAAGGTTGTTACTATTCATTTGTGTCTTTCCAAAAATTCCAGCACCATAAGCTTTGTTTCATAATGGTATTTTAGCATGTACCTACATTTCATGATAGCAAATTAACTCGATGTATTAATAACAGGGTGCTTTTCTGAATCTTTGTTATCCTATGTGAGTGGTGGAACATTCATGAAGGCACAAGAATTGCACAGCTAGTAAGTTCTACCTTAGCGCTTAGTCAGACTTCTGCAATGCATCATGGTAAGACTTTCTAAGTAACACATATAATAAAGTAATACTTTTCCCTAAATACATATTTTAAAAAATACAGACAGATTTAGCCATTGTTAAAACATCAGAGTACTAAAAACAGCATTACTTTCTGAGTTACATTCAAAATACTCTGAGACAAGATTTGTTATTTAATAAGTATTTGTTATTTAATTTATGTTGACTCTATAGCATAGTATCTCAGTATCATATGGCAGTTTTTCCTCATGCGTGGAAATCTTAAGCTTATAATATCAATTGTCAAATATGCAAAGCAAGAATTTGTGTAATTAAAAGTAAAAGTGAACCTATTACTCCTGAAGCAGGAGAGTTAAGTTACGAAGAACTAGGTAGAGAGAACTTAAGAACTTAAGTAGGAGAGTGAAGTTAGGAGAACTTTTCCCATCTTCCTTTTCTAATGCATCAGGGCCATGACAAAACTAAATAATTTAAATGCAACTGAAATATAAAATTAATATTAAATAATACTATGGACATGATATTTAAGTCAACTTACCTCACACCTGCTACTAAAGAGCCCGGAGGAGGAATCATCCTCATCCTTGAAGATATTTGGTTAAGGAGTGGGCTTTAAAACTGCTGAAAACTGGCTCCATGCTGCTGCTATCACTGGGCTGTCTGGAAAAAGAAACAGATGAATGTGGCAGATATTTCACATTCCACAAGGACTCCAAAATGTCCACATAGGAAAGGGAAGATGAATGTGTTGTGGTCATGACCAGACAGCTACCACTGTGGGTCTGAGGGCAGTGTCCATCTCAACTTCTTTGAGAAAAAGAGTGCAGCTGGATCCAGCCTGGCTTTGTAGTCAGCCTGGCTTTGTGTTTACAACCAATGACATATGAACCTTTTTCTTTCATTTCGAGGGCAGTCTAGAAAGTGAGAGGATACACTGTATTTCAGAAAAACAATAATGTTCTTTTATATGCCCAAATTCAATCAGCAATTTTTGATGGACAAAGTGCTGGGTAAATCATGATTGAAATGGCACTGTACTGACAAAGTTAATAGTTTTTGCAAGTTGCACTCTAAATTGTTCTTAAAATATTACTCTTCATCATATAAGTTAATTAAATAGATACAGTGTAAATACCGAAGTGTTAACTGTCAAATAAGTAGATTCAACTTAGAGACTACTTCAAGTAATTCAGATGATGACAGGAAAACATGCAGAACATTGGAGATGCACTGAATTTGTTTGAGCAGCTGACTTAATAGAAACTAAAACCGATGAGTTTTCACTTTGCTTTATCTAGGCTAGTGTAACAACTGGGACTGAAATACTGAAAATGGAAAATGAAATTTTCCAGTCTCTTGCAAAAGTTCTGTCAGCTAGACCTGACAGCACCATCAGCAACAAAAATAGACGCTCTTGATTACACACAAACTTGCAGATGAGTTGCGCTCTCTTCTCTTCCCCTTTTTTCCCCTCAGGCATTTAAACTATCTTGAAAGGCTGCTGTACCTTCTGGAAAAGTGAGAAAACATTCAGCTGAGGATTAATTTGGCTCATTTCATATTTCCTGTTCAGCATTTGTCTTCCATTGTGTTTTTTTTTCACGGGGGATATTTGCATGACAATGGGATCTTTCTTGCTTAAGAGTTCATCTGCTCCTGCTGCTAATTTCCCACCTGAAGTTGTAATCTTCTATTTGAGACATCTTAATTATCTCAACCGCAATTAATTGTGATGTCACAAGTGGAGGATTATGACTTTAGGTTGGAAATGAGATTGAGAAATTGAAGGAGTTTCAAGAAGCTAATTGGTTTTTCTTGAAAATAAAATAGAAGAGAGTTTTTGTTAAACTGAGGCAGACCCTATCAGCTTTCTTACTGTTGTGGAACAAACGATTCTAATTCTTGCTGCCTGTGGTCTTCGTGAGAGGCTTTATTGTATGAGATGCTGTGGAGGCGAAAAAAAGGGCAAAGATTTTATTGTGGAGAAAAGGGGACCTTCCCTTGAAATGCCATCCCATGCTGCAAGTGTGAAGCAGGAGATGGTGGGCCAACAGAGAGATCTAGGATCTGCTTGCAGATAGAATACAGTGTTGGTATGACTCTCGTTTGTTTAAAACCCAGTCAGTTTGTTGCATTTTGTATCTTGCAGTATTCACTAGTATTTAGGCATTTGACTTTCCAGATAATATTTCCAGAAGAGTTTTTTTGTGAGGGGTGGAGGAAATCCTAAGATATTTGAGGATGCATTAAGTTCAGCTTCCCAAAAACATATGAAAACATATCCATCAGAGCTTTAATTTATTCAATGTGTTAGTCATATTTCACTTCTTTGTATGTCATCTTATCCTTTCATATTCTTCTGCTTTTCCTTTGGAAATATATTATTTTCACAGCAATGCGCTGTGTCTGGGTGACCTGCTGTTTTTGTGAGGCCATTGCTAAAGCTGTTTATATCTTTATGCTGTGATTTATGAAATAGCAGTGCTCATCTACAGCTGCTATGAATTCACACCAGCATGTTTACACAGATTACACATAAACAATGGGATCAGTTCATCACTGAAAAGGAAAAAAACAAAGACAAAGAAATGCTAAGTGTCTCACTTTAACACCATTAATGATGTCAGTAAAGGCTAAAGGCTGTAAATCAGAGAGCTGAAAGTAGAGAATGAACTAAAGGTCAGCCATGTGGTTTTAGGAAAGTAAAATATCCATCAGAAAAATGTTCAGCCATCCTCAGATGTAAAGGGAAGTGACCACCGGTGAAATCATTGGTTTGTTCTTGCTGGGATACAGGCTTAGCCATATCTGTGAAATAAATATATTTTAGTGCTTGGATGCATACCAGCTGCTGGGCCATTGCAAAATGGCACATCTTCTGGAGCCTTTTGGAAAACATTGTAAAAAGAAGCATTTTGACCACTTGATGATCTCAGTTACTGGTAGAGAAGACCAGCTGTTCAGAATAAGATTTTGGTTTTCAAACAGATTGCTGTAATTCTGCAAAAACTGCAGGTGTCAACAGACCCACTGTGATAATCTGACCACGTTGTGAAGTGAAACTCATTTGTGGCCCTGAATTTACCTTGTGGGCAAGTTGGTTTGAAGTTAAAACAAGATGCCTTCAGAGCAACATAATACTATGCAATGGAAAATATGAAGAAAAAAAAAGAGAGAGAAATGTTTATATTTGCCAATTCTTTTTTTCTTTCTTTTTCTTTTTCAAAGGCAAAAGCAGTTATGGCGAAAGTGGGTTACCCTCAATTTATAATGAATGACACATATATTAATGAAGACATCAAAACAGTAAGTGTCAGATTTGCAGCTTTCTTCTTTTACATCTTGGGACCATTCTTTGCTCTCTTCTACTGCTGTTCAAAATCAAAGCTTTTTTTTTTTTGCTTTGCCCACATCTGGATTTCGGCTTGCTTGGTTATTTTTAAGCTCTAGTGCATAAAAAGTCAATGATGTTGTGTTGAAGTAAGATGGCCATCATGATGGCTGACAATAAAATTTACCTGGGTGTAATGAACCTTCCTGCTATTAACCATTTTTCAGGTTTAAAGTACCCCAGATTAAATTTTGTATTTAGTTATAAAAAATACAACCAAAAATGTATCTCCTCAAGGTAACAGCCTTCAAAAAGCCTAGTGTGTTTTTTTTGACTGAATTATTACAATTGATGATTCCAACATAGTATAGGCTCTCTGCTTTTTCTCCAGGCTATGAATTTTCTAAGCTTACAATTATCATGTCTTCAGGCCCTAACTGCTGTACAGCCCTACAGCTAGACAAGCTGGACAAGAATACTGCTGGGGCCTCAATCCTGAGCCAGTATTTATTCAGCTTAGGTATAGCTGAAAGGAAGACGATGAAGAATAATATATTTTGCCATTTTCCAAAAAAGTAACTGTGGCATGTGTGTGATGAATTGAATTACTGCAAGTCATAGGCAAAGTGAAACCACAAATTCAATCTTGAACCACTAAAATCCAAGTAGGGGTGGAGTTAATTTGCCAGAGAACATGAAAGAACACTGAAAGGAGGCATGATTTATTGGTGATCCTTGGAAAAGCTGACTCTACAAGCTTAGTCTTTGTCCATGGAAGAGTAGGGTGAAGTGGTGCTGTGAAGCCAGTGCAAAGAGACAGAGGATGGGACCAGTTCTGCCACTCAGAGTATGGAAATACTTACCACAGATAAATGGTTACATCTAGCAATAATAATAACAATAATAATAATAATTGTTAATCACAGTTGAAAAAAAAAAGATAAATCCTTCACAAATTCTGGTATTGCTTGAAATTGACAACAGGGATCTCAGTTGGATTTTAAAAGAATAGAATAACTTTTTTTTGCATGGTTAGTTGTGTGTGTGGGTTCTTAATAGATTTGGAGACTTGTGGGAACATGGAACCCTATGGCTGTGTGAGTTTAATGTGAGGAACATTAAAAACAGCAGCAGAATCCTCCAACGGCAAACAGTACAAACCATTTGCGATGAAATGCAAAGCAAACAGAGAAAAAGAGGCTTTGTTACTGTCTTGAAAGTGGTTTTAAAATGAAGTTTTAAAAATGAGGATAGACCTCTTCTCTCAAAGAGAAAAGGCTGCCTTTTAATAGCTGTAGAAATGTGCAGTCTGCAATTTGTCATTGGGTACTACTGATTTCCTCAGCTGCATCTGCACAGGTGAAAGCTTTTTGTGATATTCCAGTCCCTTGTGTAAATCCACTCACCATCCATTTTTAAACCAGTATCACAAAATATTTATTCATTCTACCAACTATGGGAATTTCATTTGTTTTGATCATGTCAAAAAAAAAAAAAAAAAAAAAAACACTTTTTTTTTTTTAGGCATGATCAAAACAAATGAAATTTATTTTGATGAAAATGAAAAATATATATATATATTTTTAAATTAAAAGTTCTGATTGTTCTGTCAGCTCTTGTTTCCTTGGACGTGTTCTAAAAAATATCTGTGCTTTGCCTATACAGCTGAAGTTTACAGAAAGTGACTATTTTGGCAATGTATTACAAACTCGCAAATATGCAGCCCAATCTGATTTCTACTGGCTTAGAAAAGAAGTTCCAAAAACAGAGTGAGTAGTCAAAAGCTAAATTTTCATATTCTTTTAACAGTGTTTTAATTTATAGTATTTAATTTATATGATTTCATTGTAATAGAATTATAGGCACAACAACATATTGCAATAAAAATACTTATGGGCAAAAAAAGCGAAACAGCGGTTATTCAGCAATTCCTGTGGGTATTTTTTATCACAAAATTGCTTTTTTCATTAAGTTCTAGATATTCCTATTCTGATGCACAGTGGTCATATGCTTTCAGCTTAAACTTTTAATTTAATGAAAAAAAAGGAGTAATTGAATCTCAGTTGAAAGTAGATTATGTCGCAGTTAGAATTTGGAATGGTACAGCAGGGATTTATGAAGTAAATTTCCTATGAATGGAACCATTATCAAGAAATAATATTATTATTAGTAGTAATTAGTACTGTTAGTTACCTGCTGTTGATAGCAATGATAGAGACCAAGGCATGATTTAATTTACTTATGTTATATTTATTTATTTGTAAGCCAGAGAATACAAATTGTGTCACATATACAGTCATCAAATACTTGAAAGAATCAGTCTCTCTTCTTACTGGTGGGTAATCAAATCCTTAAAATGCAAATTAAAACCTAAACAGAAATTAATTACTCTAATCACTCTACTTAAAAATGACTCCTCCTGCATGGAGACCTTGAAATCAGTGCAGCTGCTTAACTCCTGTGATGTGATTTCCCTATGGCTCCAGATATTCTTGCTCATACTGAACTGTATCTTGTTTTGGGGATGCTAGAGGGTGCCAGCAGGAGAGGCACAGCCTGTGCCTGCTTAGAGTTTCATAATTTGGTACTGCGTACTTGAGGGAATGTTTATAGCTCAATTTTAATGTTGGGTTTTACCTTCTTGTCCCACTTTTCTCTGACACTGCAATTGTTAACCCTAGTAAAACGTAACACTCGCTTCTCAAAACCAATAGAGTTGTGACGTGCTGGAACAGGCTGCCCAGAGAAGCTGTGGATGTCCTGTACCCTGGAGGTGTTCAAAGCCAGGTTGGATGGGCCCCTGGGCAGCCTGATCTAGTAATAGTAATGGAGGTTGGTGGCCCTGCCTGCAGCAGAAGGTTTGGAGCTTGACGATCCTTGAGATCCCTTCCAGCCCAAGCCATTCTGTGATTTTATGATTCTCTGTAGAAATGGTACGCAGCAGCCCTCATCCTCTGAGCAGAGTTGAGGCAGCACAACACAAACCAAATAGATTAACGGCATGATGCAAAATGTCCCCTGTAATGGACATTAATGGTCAGATAATCCCTAATTGTGCACTGCAGGGGCTGTAATCTAAGAACATCATGTGAGTAATCTTAAAAAATGAAGGTTTTACTCTACCAAACATTACAAGATTGATTACTTCCTCATCCTTGTCTTTGTCCTCTTATTTCAAGGGTTATTTAACAGAAGACCTTTCATCACCTTTGTCTTGCCCTTAAGTAGATCTGTTCATGTCTGTTTTTGCATTTTCCTTTGCTAAAAAAAACAGGGAGATATACAGGACTAGAGTCACAAAGTAGCTCATCCACTGAAAGTGGAATAAAAGAGAATCAGTGATCCCTTCTGCACTGTCTACAGCGTAGAGGGGAGATGAGAACTCCTGGTGGGATTGGTATCCACAAGTGTGCATGCATACAGGCCAGGGGACAGACCCTCACATCTCCATCCCAGGCAGCTCACTGGCTGGGCATGGCTGGGGAGAGACCACAGGGCCCCTTGGTCCTAGTCATCCCAATTTCTTGTTCTGCATTTCTCTTTCACCAGTACAGCTACATGCTATACTGTTTGTGGGGCCAGGGCTAAACCCACCTCATTCTTAGCCACAGTGATTTTTCATGGGATGTTATTCTGCCTCTACATATACTTGGGGACAGAAATGAAATCTGAAGGTGGTGTGCCTTAGGTTGACATCTGTTGCTGTGTCTGCTGAGGTATATCAAGGCACAGGGAGCCATTGTCCCTGCTAGTAAGAATGTCAGCCTATGTTTTAATTTATTATAACAAAGATAACTTCCATCAGTCTGAGGTACAACAAAGGTGGACTTATAAGTATCAGATCTTGCCATGTTTTGATTATCAGACCACTTCTTTTTGATGCTTTTGCTTCTCTTTTTCCTTTCTTTTCTTTCTCTGTGTTTTTTTTTTTTTTTTAAAAAAAAAGCCTGTATCACTCATTGAACTCCACAGATCATTGGTCTACACTGAAGCTTGGTGCTTTGTTAATAGAGAATTACCCTTGGGGATTGTTTCTGTTTGCTTTGTTTCCTTATTTTCCTAATTAAGTAGCTTTTATCAAAATATTTACATTTAGAAATAGATATTATGAAATGATCCATGCAGTGGACTGACAAATAAGCAAAAGAGTATGAAAAGAAAAAAAAAGTTAATGCCTACTCATTTCTACCCCATTATTACCTCCAAAAGTGAAACACTATACTCATTTAGCAGACAGTGCAGATTTCTCGGCAATCAAAATGGACTCTTTCATCAGCATAATTAGCTATATGGAAAATCAAAGTGTTGGCTCACTTAGAACACCAGGGAAATACCATCAGGGGACAGATAGAGGAGCTGGGAAGGCAAAGGAGTTCAGTAAAGAGGAATACGTGCATTTCAAAGTGGGAATGGTTATTCTGGAAATACAACAGTTTTGTAATCTAAGAAACAGGAAAAAATGCCCCAAAATAGGAGTATTTATCAAAATTCTTTGTCTTATATTTTGCTCCCTCCTGACCTAGTGATCACTTGGCTTAAAGCAAAAAGGAATGGGGAGGACTCAGGTGCAGTGTTGCTCTGGCCATGGATGAAGGGATGCATGGGGACACATTTCATGCCTGCTCTTGCTAAGGAGATGTGATATCCTGTTGGTGTGCCCAGTGGCTGGATACCCTGAAGGCAATCACAACACCTGCCTTGGATACTGGCCATGATCCCAGCAGCTGGCTGGGGAGCTGGCTCTTTTTTCAGAGCCACCTTTTTCAAACCAGGGAATAAGTGCTAGTATCAGGACAGAGATGCACAGGAGAGATTTGTGGCAGTGGCTGAAGAGTATGATGCCTGAAGCAGTGCCAGTTAGATGGACAGGGCTGAATACAGGTGACAAGGCTGGAAAGGTAGAGCACAGGAGGGTGGAGAACAACTGTGAAGGCAATTACCTTAATCCAGGTAAGACATCACTATAGCAGAAGAAGGTGAAAGGGAGCATGTGGAAGGGAGAGATAGAGGAGAATTGGGGTTTCAGTGGCATTTATCCATCCTTGGAGCCATATATGTTAATATGTGTTAATACTCATGTATATGTAAACAAACATCTTTTTAACAGTGATTGAATCTATGCTTCTTAACACCTATAGCATACTGCACGTAGCAAGAAGTCAGAGAACATTTTGGGCATCTCACTATATTATTATTGTCTTTTTCCTTTGAAGTAAAAAATAATATGAAAGATTATTTCACTCAACCCTCTGCATTGGAAATGTAGGCATCTGGAAACCAGGTCACATGACACACAAGAAGTGATCCTGGATTTTCTGCAGGATTTATTTCAATTTTTCAATCACACACAGTTGTTTCTCCATCCTGGCTCTTGGTTTCTGCAGAGAAGGGCAGTTTTCAGATGTGCTGTGCTGGATATGGTTAGGGGCACCACGAAAACTGCTCAAAAAAAGAAAAGCAGGCACAGAAGATGCTGGGCAGGCTGTTGACTGCCACGGAGCTCTGAGCTTAGAAATCCTGTAGGTGGGCCTGCTCTGGAGAGGAGAGACTGGAAGGAGCCTAATGGAGCCTTTTCCTAACCTCTAAAACTCAATTTAAGCAGAGAGTTGGCCAACTGGAGGTTGGGCCCAACCTCACCATCCTTGTTGCTTCCCCAGGCGTGTGGGAAACAGATGGCAGCCTAACATGGGAGGCTAATCCTTTATTTTTTATACAGGCAAATGTATAAAGTTGGCTAACAGTGTGAACAGTAAATATACTTTTCAAAGTTAACTTGAAGATGGCTTCCCCTGTAGTGGATTTTTCTTTGTTGCCTTTTATTATCTTTTGAAGAGATTTTCCAGATTCCAGCTTCATTAGCAACTCTGTACCAGAGCAATTTACTTACTCAAAAAGTTGAGGGAACAAACTGAAACTTCAGTTCATGCTTTGCAGAGAATTACAGAAATAAGCTTTTCCCTTCATTGTAAGGGTTCCCGGTCAACACTTTACATGATTGCCAATGTAGTGCACTTTGCTCTCAACTCAGGAAGGAAGATATGGTGAGGAGATCTGTAACGCAAGCCTAACAGAGTATCTGCTTCAGTTATTATTTCAGTGAAAGATTTTTTCCACAAGCGATCTCAGATTTACAAGTATCAAGTCTGCCAGGTTATGTTTCGACTACTTGAAGTTGATAGGTAACATTACAGGACTTCACTCATAGCTGTTCCTCTTTCACATACTAATAAGAAATGGAAACAGTGAAAAGAATTAGTCTGTAATTAATGGGAGCTTAGATTTTGTTATGCCTTTTCTATACTTCTGATAATAAAGCAAATGCACTGACATTGTAACTAGATCTAGAGCAAATTCCCAGGCAACCTGACTTCAAACAGGAATGTGAGAGCTATTTCTAAATTTGCTTCACCTTAAAATTTAACATTGATAGCTATTTATTACAGCTCCTCATATATTTATTTGATGTATTATTAGTTAAGGCCAGTGAAGCTGGTGAGGAGTCTGGAGCACATTCCTAATGAGGAGAGGTTGAGGGAAAGGATTATTTAGTCTGCAGGAGTCCCAGAGGTGACCTTATCACTCTATAACACCTGAGGGAGGTTGTGGTGAGGTGGGGGTCAGCCTCTTCTCTCATGTGACTAGCAATAGGGCAAGAGGGAATGGCCTCAAGCCATGCCAAGGGAGGTTCAGGCTGGGCATTAGGAAGTACTTTTTCTGTGAGAGAGTGGTCAGGCTCTGGAAAAGGCTTGCCATTCCTGGAGGTGTTGAAACGTTTAGATGTTGTACTGAGGGACATGGTTTAGTGGGAAATGTCGTTAGATGGACAATTGGACTGGACCATCTTAGAAGACTTTTCCAACCTTGATGATTCTGTGATTCCATGATTAAGGTCTGTCACTGAAGGCTCAGTCTTTTCAAGGAACTCACTGAAAAATGCTGGCAGATTTAAGGTGAAGTTGTTCATCTTGTCTGTATGGAAGCAGTCTCTGTTATTTCTATTCTTTTGTAGAAAATGCTTTCTAAATCTTCTTGAGAATGGCTTGGAGTGGTACAACAGAATGCTGGAGTGCAAATATGCTCTTTGCCAGAGTGTCTAAATGTCAAACATGTAATTCAGCAAGTATACTCTGCTTGTCACTTGAAAACTCTTTCCTTTGTGACTCCTTGGTACAGCTTCCTACCTGCTCAAAAATGTAACAAATTTCATACTGAGTTGTTCCTGAGGCCTTCTCATGTAACTGTGACTTGGAAAGAACATAGAGCAATTTTACACTGAGAAAAATTAGACTGCTATTGGTCTGTGGCTTATATCAAGCTCAGGAGACAAGATGGGCTGTGCTGTAGCAGTGGTGGATCATCAAGGAAGGAGTAGCTTTGGGATAGAGATGTTGTGATGAGACTCAGTAGCTTGTCTACAAGCTACGAGGTAGGTTCATAGGTATCAAAGTGTGACCAGTAGTGGTGTGATGTCTTTGGTTTCTTTCAGGCTAAGTGAGGTGTTTCTGTAGTAAAAAACCCATGCATTACTATGGTTAGCTCCTTACCTAGTAAAAATAGGTGTAGACTTGTACTGTTAGAGAGGCATTGCTTGTCAGTAAAGAGCTCTTCAACCACTGCTCATGGTATTTCCTTTCCTGACTGAGTTGTGGTGAGCCCAGTGTGGGCTCCGTGACTGCAACAGTAAAGAGGATGGAGAGGAGATCAATGCACATCAGTCTGTTTTGAAGTGTAAGTTATCTGCCTCGAGCCCTTGATCCTGTGACTGAAAATGAGGGAACACTGTAAGACACGCACTATAAGACGGATTTATAAAAAGGGAGTATTTGTGGTTCGGAAGCCCTTTTCATGCTTAAAAGATGCTGTTCAAGGGAATAGAAAGGATGTTTTAAGTGGAATATACTGACAGAGTAAGGTGGAAGTTGCAGTGCTATTTGTCTTTGGTCAAACTTCAGTGAAATCCAAATTAAAGTACTGAGTGCTTCAGATGGGTCCCTCTGAGGTCTCCTTGTCAAAAAGTGACAAGTCTTTCAGAGCTACTGCTAAACCAGGAGAGCAGGTATCACTGCACAGGTGGCTGGCTGGAATCCTTAACAATTCAGCTCATCAATTCTGTGAACGGATGTGAAATTAAAATGTAGCAAATTGTAGCCCCTGACTTTTTTTTCTTCTTCCCTTCATCATTAGGCATTATTTCTTAAATACTCCATTATCTCATTACATTACTTCTAATATTTCATTCCTTTATTAAGGAGGAAACAGAAAACACAACAAAATAAACAACCTCCCCTTGCTCCTCCCCTTCAGCATCTCCTAATAAACAAAACTGGGAGAATTATCTGTGGCAATTAGAGACTCTAATGTGATGGATGGTTAAGATATTTACATGCCATCACACTTGGCTTTCCTTGGTTACTTTTTCTAGTTGCTGCACTGTGAAATAAGCTTTGAACGTGAGATAAGCAGATAAATTTATGGATAAAAGACAGAATGCTGCCATTCTGAAACTCTCCCCTTTGTTGTGTGGTTTACATGAGGATATGAGTTGCCAGGAAAACAGTCAGGATCTGCAGATCACTCATTCATTTGATGGTGCTATTTTAAAGCACGAATCGTGGACTTGAATGTCACCAACATCACACATTTTCCATGTTCTGTTAGATCTTCCTTTGTCTTGCTCATTGTTGTGCAGCTGCCATCTCTTCTCTTTGAAAGAAAATTTCCAAAGTATTTTCATTATATTCATTGCTTTTGAGCCTTTCAGAACTTCTGAGTAATGTACTTCTAAAGACATCAGGATTTTCCTTTTTGGACGTTTATTACAGTTGTTTCTAATTTATTATGAATTATTGACTAATTCTCATTATCTTTATTACTTTAATTTTATCTTAGTTCTTCATTATAAAAGTGTAAGGTGAAATCTTGGACTCACTGGAGTCAGAATTTCCTCAGAGGGGATTTGGATTTTGCTAAAGTCTGTTGAGACTTTATGGTGAAATCCATGTGGGTGAAATCACTGCTAATGCAGCTGAGCTTAGTCTAAGGAGCTCCATAAATCCTTTTTGCATTTCAGATCAAGGTTTCCTTCCAGTAGGTTTGGGAAACCTAACTGTGAGAAGAAATGCTTACATTCCTTGTAAAGTTAGTTTTGCTTTGCAAGATGTCTGTTTATGGGCACAGTGATATCTGTGTTTGCTGAGTAGGGTACAGACAGAGAAGCCATTTATTTCAGACTTAGGTACCCAGAAAGGACCTACCCATGCTGTTGGCATCATCCTAATTGAACAAGAAGCTGCTCAGCAAAGAGTCTGAATCCACTTCAGATGCTTAAAAAATGCTCTCCTCTAATTTCAAGAGGGAGATTCTCCACACGTGGTTTAAAGAGAGATATAACAGAATCAAAGAGAGTTTTTACAGCTGCTATCAGTGTGGTACCTCTGTTGGGTGAAGTCAAGACTTCAGTTTGTCAGCACAGCAGGCACAACTATCACTTAGAAGTACAACATATTCTGCAACAGGAAGCTTAGCAGTCTCTGACCATGTGCACTTAAATTAAAGCCATTAAACAATAGATTTCAATCTTCCAGGAACTGTAAGTAGTGCATGTTGAACTGAAGAAATAATTAAACTTTAATGAATCCTAGATCTTTTACATTTTTGCATCTTTCCACTGAGTTAACTTTTTATCTTTGCTCATTGTATTCAGAGAGAAGTTGAGGTGTACTGACAGCTGATTTCTTCTGCTCTCACTACAGGTGGTTTACGAGCCCAACTACTGTCAATGCTTTTTATAGTGCATCCACCAATCAGATCAGTGAGTATCTGAATTCTGAGCCTACTTTTAAAGTGTCTGTTTGGAAAATGTATGTATCCAGCTTCAGGCAATATCTGTACAGTTTGTGTGAATGTGACTGACTATCAGGTGTGATGAAAATCAGAAATGCAGACATTGTAATTCAGCTCTGAGACATCTTTAGTTAGAGGATAGTTTTGGAAAAGCAATGGCTCCACAAATTGGAATTACTGCTCTTAATGAGATACCCCATGTCAGCTGAATTGCAGAAACTGCTTACATACACTCTGTCCATTGCAAATGTGAAAGAAAACATTAGCTTAAATCACTTCTGTTAGAGTTCATACCATTTTCCATTTTCTATTTGCCGCAGCAAAAAGATGTGTGCGTACAATGCCATAAATAGTAATTTTTGAAGTGACAGAAATTCAGTTCACTAATATTAGTATATATGCAGAAATAAACATGGTTGGAGAAAACTGTGACACAGACAGAGGGCCTAAGAAGTGATGCCCAGTGGAGTTGTTCAATATTTTCTAATGAAAAGGATGGATATCTGTAGGTAACTGCTAATATCTGCTCTTCCCTATTTCTGTAAACAATTTTTTGCCTCCAAATATACATTCTTTTGTGTCTAAGCGAGCTCATTCATAAAGGAAACATGATAATTACTCAGGTCTTTTGATTAAAATTAGTTCTAGGCCTAGACTGCTCCTCTTTAATTAGAGGACTGCCATCGTTAAGCAGCCATGTTTTTGTCTATCATTGAACTCTTGAGGTGGATTTCACTGGGTTGATCAAAGCTCATCTCAAAGTACATCTCGAAAACGAGAGCTGGTTTTCCTGCTAAACTGAGCACCGGCCACCACTGCTCTTCCAGATGTATTGTGTGGATGCAGAGGATACTGTCAGTGCAAAATGAGAGCTGTTGCTGTTACATCTTCGTTAACATGAGATCCTTTCAAGTTTCAGCAGCATTCATCTCTCCCAGCCTCCCCACCACGGCACATTAAAGAAAGCTGCAGTGAGAGGCTGGAACCACTGAAGCTAAATTTCACACTTGCTGTGTCATGAAACAGAGGGCTGTCAAACATAACTTATCTGTCACAGGTGCGGAGATGACTATGTTTTGTATCAGAACTGCAGACTTTCTCATACTGCTGGTATTCGACCTTGAAGTTTGGATAGTGATGCTTGCTGTTTTTTTAGGACTGTTCCTAAGAAGAAAAGGTTTTAGGTGGCTCTTTCTGAACAAATACTGCATTTACCATAAAAATGACATGCAATTGGAGGGGAGGCTTGAAGAAAGGCACAGTGCAAGTGGTCTTCCACCAATGACCACTGCTCTTTACAGGAGACATGGCCACTGTGAGATATACATAAAACATGCTTGGGTCTGAACCTGCTGATAAATATTTGTCACATCACTACCAAGTTCCCATTGATGCTGGTGGGAGAGAATTGTGGTGTGTGAGACTGAACTTAGCAATTGCAAGCATACTATTGTGATAAGCTGCATCTTTGGGCAGATCTCACATCCCAGAGCTGTTGTCTTAATACTGTGCAATACTCAACAGTAATCCACAGCAAGTTCTGCAGGAGCTAGTGATGTGCTGTGAAAGGCCTAGCTAAACAGCATAAAAAAATGGTCTTAAAAGAAGAAAATCATTTCAGAACAAAAATAAGCATGAGCTCCAGCAAGTTAAATGTAAAGTGGAGCTATAACAAGGCCTCAAAGATTGGAGGAAAGACTTTCTAAGAGTGTAAGAATGAGTAATAAAACTTTTTTTTGTATACACTGAAAGAAGAGAGTCCTTAAGTCAGATAAATAATGTAATTCTCTGTACTGGAAATATAAGCATGAGATAATATTCTCTCAGGTATTCCAAAAGAACTTAGACAAAAGATGCCAACAACAAGTTTTGGTGTTAGCTTATAAGTTACGTTGGCCATTGCACAGGCAGAATAGGTGTGGCAAACGTGAAATACTTTTTTTGCAAAACAGCATCTAGAGAGATTAAAAAAAAAATTATTCTAGCACCTATGCAAAAGAAAATGACCATAACAAAGAAGAGTATGAACAAACATACAAAATAATAGGGAAGAGTCAGTGTGACTTACTTTTTGCTTTTACTTTAGAAAAGAATCATGCTTCCTTAGTCTATTACAGCTTTTTGGAATTGTAAATGAGCTTGAGAAATTATGTTTATTTCTATGGAACAATTTTCATGAGGTTCTTTCCCAGTGTTATTAGAAGTTGTCATGGGACAAGAAAGAAGGTCCTTCCATAAATAATGACTAATCAGAGGTGAGAAAAGGAGTAGGAACAAATCAACTGTTTTCAAAATATTTGGAGAAATGTACTACCAGAAGATCTGTGTCGGTCATTTTATTAGGAAACAATCTGAATAAAAGGGTGTTCTCTCCTGAACAAAGGAACAGACAGATAGAAACTGTGATTCAGGAGGACAGATCCCTCTGTTACTGATTGCTGAAAGTAGAACTTTACTAGCAGAACTGCCTCACAGATTCCCAATGCCCTTTTCCTATACCTTTCCCTCCACTGGAACAGCTGGTTGCTGCTGGAGAGCAGAGAATGAGCGAGGTAGGCTCTTTGTCTTCTTGAGTGCAGTTGCTTTTCAGTGGGCAAACTAGATTTGAGTGTGTTTGAGGCCCATCTATATCTGCTCTTGGTAAGTGAATTTACTAAGAAGCGGTATTTGAGAAAACCAAATTTAAAAATGCACAGTGCAAATTGTTTCTGGAAGGAAGCTTCTACATTAACTGGAAAAGTCTCGGTTGCAAAGTTGATTCTAAGAATTAAGATCCCTCAGTTTGGAAACAGAAATGCACTATGTGATATTATCAGCATAACCACAGCAACTCCAAACTCAATTAGTCACTGAGGGCTTCATTAAACAATTTAGAAAAAAGGCACTGTCTGTGCCTTGAACGGAGGATTCTGAAAAGAAGCAGCCGTCAGGGACCTGCAGAAGTGGAGGAGAACATACCAGTTCTGATCATTTCTAGGAAGATGCTTTTGTCCTGCACAGGGAGGTCTCTGGTGTGCTCCTGGCAAGAGGACAATAAATTCTCTTGTCACTATAATCTGTGTTACAGACATACGCGCTACATAAGAAATTGCTGCAATCTTCATACAGTCTTCATATAAGGGCAAGTTGTTAAAGTTTTTAATGGCATCTTGACTACCCAATTGCTTGAAAGAAAAGGTCTTTCTTCACTGAAAGTGAAAATTAATAGACAGTAGAAACTAGATGACTTAGAAGATGGCTAGATTTGGGAGAATACAGCAAAACGTTGATGTTCAGGGATTGTAATGAATTCTGCAATGCTTCAGTGCAAACACCCTTTATGTTTGCTATTACTTCATTTAATTTCCATTAGTAAACTATTGATAACATGAATGGCCAACAATTGTGTTAATATTTGCAAAGGAGAAATAAGTATCAAGGTAAGATATGCTGCAAAGAACAAATTTATAAAATGTGGTGCATATAATTTATCTTCTTATTAAAGTTTACTTCCGATTTTCTCTATACAAGAGTTCTACTTATTTTCCAGTTCTTTTCCCAAAGTGTCTTAGATGAACAACGATGCATGTTTGTAATAGTTGTTACTTACCTAAATTCTAAACGTAATTTTCTTAGTATTTGCTAGTTGATTTCCCTTCAATTATAGGTACTTAACATGGGCAACAGGCACCTATCATTGCCTTTAGATGCCACAGAGGTATCTAAGTACACTTCATATAATCTAAGCAGTGTGAATACTATCTTTTTTAATTACGATCACTGGAACACAAAAACACTTTCACAATGAGAGTGTTTATTTTAATGAGCTCCAGAGCAGTCAATAAATACATGCTGAAAATAGATACAAGTGATGATCAAAGTATGCCATCATACTTCTGTTGAAGAAAAGGTTTTATTTCATTACAGCACTGAAATATTGGCTCTTGAATATGTGAAGGGTGGAAGAAACTGCTCATTAGACATTTGGTGTATTTAATTTTCTTTCCAAGTGTAGATATACATGTCTCTAGAATATGTCAAAAAAGTAACATTTGTGGGATGTGAACAGTAATGAAAAGTGGATTTACAGTGAACAGAGAAAAATATAAGCAATGCTCTCTACGAGGTATGTGCCTGAATAGATGTATCAGATAATTAAATACTGTTGATAGTATTTCTGTAAGTTTATACCTATGCTTCCGCTCAGTCATCTGCACTTGTACTGTGGTTTTCTAGTGAAAGTCAAGAGGACTCTTTCGAGAGCAGCTTCATTACACTTTAGAGGAAGAAGACGTAATCTAAAATAGAATTTTGAAATTATGTTCAAATAAGCATCCATAGAGAAAACCACAGATGAGAGCTCATATTAGGCAGTAAGTATCATCTTCATAGAAAGTGGCATGTGGATTTTGATGCTGGCAGCTGGCTGATGCTGTGAGTTGCAGGGGCAAACTCTTATCTTGCCTATAGACAGGCAAGCATTGGCAAACAGTACATGGTGCTGTGGCCAGCGGGGGATCAGGGGACTCCACGTAGGACCACTTTTTCTTCCCTTAAGAGCTGGGCTAATTGGAAGGTTATTGATGAAGTAGGTTTAAGTGCTCCATTAATTTCCAGAAGGCTAATGAACACAACAGACATGGACTGAATACTTTCTGAGTGCACACTGTTCACAGAATCACAGTCCTGTTATTAAGTAAGCTTTAAGTGTTCTTAAGTGAGCCCTTGTCTTCATTTTTCCAATTTTCTAATGGCCAGTATTCTCTGTTGTTTAATTACAGTCATAGGTGAGATGGTGTATGATCCTTACAGTCATTTCTTATTTCTTCTTCCTAAAATTCTTTAAAATAGCAGTTTTTCTGAGTATTCTATTTTTTTAATCTGAGGAATCTGGAGAGTTGTTGCCTTCAAAAAACATGTTTCTTAGAATTTAGGTCACTGTTATGACAGTGTTTGATCCTAATCACCTTCATATAGGTAGGCCAAAGCTATCTGAGATGCTTTGCAGGACACTGAGATAGGCTGCAGGAGACCTTGTCTCTTCAGGATTGGCAGAATGCACATCCTAGGAACAATATACAAAGATGTATCAAAAAGCAATGGGAAAAGATTCAGTGTTGAAACACTCCAAGCCTATGGATCCATTTTAAATAAATATATTCTGCCTTTAATGCTATTTTTAGGTAACTGAATAACACCCTCATGGTTTTCATGTTTAATTCCTTCTGTGTACTCACAATCCTTTGCTCGCTGACCAGCACTTATTCTTCTGCTTATATCTAATTCATTTAAAGCTCTCAATCTGAATTCATTCAATGACACTTGAAAAAAAAAGGTTACAGGTTTTTTAAGCTTGTCTAAGAGCCGCTAGTACAATGATCAGCAGAGAACTCTGTATGCCACACAGCTGTCTCCCACATCTGCTATTTACGTGCTAGAATCACCAGCTTGTCAGAAGTTGCTTTAAACAAACCAACTAATTACTGGGAACTGTAAATGCAATGACTTTGAATGAGGCTTCACTAGTTCTTTTCTTAGTTAAAAATATTGTGCAATATAAGTGAATAATGCAATTAAATTATGTAATTTAAATTCATATTTGGATTTGAACTCTAAGTTTCTTCATGATTTGGTGAGCCATCTCAATTGGTTTTAGTTTACTTCATCCATTATGAGTTTGCATAGCTATGGTGAACTATTAGATGAAATGTCATTGTGTCTCTCTGGAGAAGTAACTCTAGTCCCCCGAGTCTCAAATTGTTCATCTGCACAATATGTATACCATATGGTATATAACTAACAAATTGATTCATTAATAGAAGAAAACCAATATAAATCTGAAAAAAAAACAAAGCCCAAAAACAAACCAACAAAAAACCAAAAACACCACAACAACCACAAAACAAATCAAAACCAACCAAACAAAAAAACTAAGTTTCAACTTTGAAATATATTCCAACAAACTTCACAGCACCCTGCTGGGGAGAGAGGCTGAAAATTGATATAATGGATAAAGAGGATCTAAATGCGTTCACTTAAGTTAAAAGTAGTTCTGTGCAGGTGAATGGCTATGTCAGAGCTTCAAGGTAAGCATAAATTCATAGTGAAGTAGTTAAAGTAAGCCAGATCTGCTCCACTGCTTGAAATGCTCTGATGGTTCAGAGGAATAGAACAGGAGTAAAGTACAGCAAAAAGTCACTTTCCAATGTCCAGACAGAGGTTAGAAAAGACACAGCCTACCTGGAGATGAATCTGGTGAAGAATTCAAAAGAAAGACCTAAAGAAAGTCTAGGGAAAATGTGGGCCCAGTGCCAAGTGGTTCAGGGGACCTGGTGACAAATGAAGAATGTTTAAGTACTCAGTCTTCATCACCTCGGTCTTCACTGGCAAGACTGACTTTTGGAAATGTCTGAGATCAGAGGGAAGGTCTGAAGCAAGGAGACTCACCCTCTGTGGAGAAGGAGAAGGCTGGGAAATGGTGTCCCTGTTCATGGCAGGGGAGTTGGATTAAATGACCTTTAAGGGTCCCTTGCCACTCAAACCATTCTATGATTCTATAAACAATGCGTTCATATCTCTACCTGAAACACAGACAAGTTCAAATTCACTGTTTGAGCCCATATGTGGGCAAAATAATTTCAAATCCTTACAAGACCTCAATACCCTCTTGATGTGGTGGAAGGCACACGGCCATGTGCCAGGATTGTGTAATCCCTAGATATTATTTATTGGGGATTGTGTTACCTTAGATCATACCTTCCTTACTATGGTCTCATTTCTTCATTTTGCCCACAGTTTTCTCATCTGCCTTTGGGAGTGAGGGGGTTAGTGGACTCTAACACTTCTTTCATTAAATGATATCTTTTATGAATCCAAAGGACTTCACTGAGATTTGAAGTTTGCAAAGAAGCACTCAATCTAGTGCAGACTACATTGCTAACTCTTACTACCAAATGGTACTTAGGACAACGATAACCTATAGCAGTCACAAAATGCCTGTGAAAATTACACTTATAGTTCAGGTCATGTGAAGCAATTCAGGAAAGAAATTAGCTCAAGGAATGAAGATTCAATCCTGTTAGAATACTGCATGTTACAACATGGAACGGGGGAGTGCCACTTACTTACACCAGTGTGCAACAGCCCTGCTCTTGAATAATTCTGTTGGCCTTTGTGTATTTTGTTCTTCTCTAAATTTATGAAACCTTCTCATCAGGATGTGCCTATGATATGTTTTAGAACATGTGTAGTAAATACTCAAAACCCTTCTTTGTGTGCTGGGAGGCAAGAAGAATTAGATCAGGAAAACTTTGTCCTTGACATTGGCAAAATTGTGTTTTATAGCACTGGAAAAGCAATTCATAACATACCTGAAAAAAAAAAAAGAACACCCAGCATCCATATAAGCAAGATAAAAAAAGCACTCAGAAAATAAGTTTGAAAATGACACATTTTTAAAAAACAAATTGCAAATTGGTAGTCAAGGCAGACAGGGAACGGCAGTGGAAAAAAACAGATGACCAGGAGGGCTTACTGTAACATTTTGTGTGAATTACAATCAGTATAACTTATTTAAAGACTTTGGAAAGAAAGGAAATCTTTTGCCTGAATTCTTATTAAAAAATCCATGTCCTATTTGTCAACAAAACAACTGAATAGGGTCAAATAAATTGAACCTGATTTTGTTTTGATCTGAGAGGCCAGATGATTTCTTGCAGAGAACTTTGTGAAGGTGAAGTAGAGATTCCTGAGAAGACTAGTGAATCATCAGAGAATTACTGATAAGGAGATGTCCATGTGGGGTAACCTCAGAAGCAGATGTAAGTCCATGCTCTGCAGATGGGAATTTCTCATGCAAGGCACTGGATTCCACATTTGGTCCCACATAAACTACAGTTTTCACCAGTATTTGAAAACTTTGAGTATAGACATCTGCTTTATTTATCAACTTGTTTAATTGTTAGTGTGTTCAACTCATTTGTCTTCAGAATAATGTCTCTGAAGTGTCACCTAGGAATTAGAAATAGAACTGTGACTTTGATCAAAGAACTGTATTTACATTTTATTTCATTTACCCATAACTGAAAAAGCAGCCAGGTAATCCTGTAGCCAGACTGGTTCTACAGCCTTGATTGCCTACAGCTCTGCTTTACAGAAGTGCTCAAGTTCCTTTACCTTTGACTTTCCTAGATTATAATTAAGCTGACATTTTATCACTTCCTTATATCTCTTGCAGCACAGAATCCTCTCTAAGCTAAGTCTCCTAGTTCTTGTTGTATTTTGCCATATATTCTTGGTTTATATGTCAACATATCTGAAGACAATCAACTTTCTTGTGTTTGTTTTCACATAGTTGTTTATTGACAGAACACATACACAAATGCACACATGTGCCATGGCCAAAAATAAAGTTCTTGCAATGTAGCATGTAGCTGTCATTGAGGTCTTAAAGGAGAGAGATCTCTTCTTCTCAAACATCTTCTCCATCATGTTCTGAAAATACCACCTGAGGGAAAGCTTGTCTAGTAAAACCTTCTGAAATTGAAAAAATAGAGGTCATAAACCCAAACTTAGATACTGTTATTCAGCTGTATAAACCTCACAATTATAATTTTTTGCTATTACAGGATTCCCAGCAGGAGAACTGCAAAAGCCCTTCTTCTGGGGAACAGAGTATCCTAGGTAAGTACTATACCAGGGAACCTCTTATACCTGGAAATGGGGAAAAATAGGTAAAGGTATTAGAAATGCATATAAACAAAGGGGAGATCATAGAGAAAAAAGCTATCCTACTGAAGACAGTCAATAGGTTGAGCATGGTTATACTGTAAGTGTGCAAAGAGCTCACTCCTTGGCTTGTGTGTTCTTCCCTTATGTACCCCAATTTTACTATTGAAAAACCAGACTTAGAAAACTACTGCTCTGTGCAATAACTTTTCTTACCCTTGGGAGCAGAATGTGTTGCTGTTGTCTTAAACTGATGACTGATTTCTCACAGGAATTGCTAATTAAGTGCACCTGAGTGGAAGTGTTTCACTGCTATAGGATGCAGATGCAGCAGTGTGCACATGGCAGGAATTAAAAGGAATGGTAAATCAAGTAACTAACACTTCTTGAACAGAACTGAATACCCCGAGAAGCCTTTTATTATCAGTTTATTGCTCCATTTCTGCTAATATCTAAGATTAACAGTAAGTCTTCTTCTGTGTTTGCTAAAGTGCAGGAGAAAATCTCCACCTGTACAAGCGATTGCCTGAGAACCCGTGTGCTTCTATAGCTGAGGAAGACTAATTATAAGTCATATATATTTAATTTTGAAAAATGACTGCTTCAATGCAGTCCAATATCTTCCTATTTTAGGGAAGGATCAGACCAAGAAGAAGTCTCTGACAGCAGTTTCTGAAAGTTATTTTGCAGTTATACAAAGTCAGCTACTACTGAAACATATCCTTCACATATCTTAGCTAAAAAAAGTAAAATAAAATTAAACTTCTAAAACATTCTGAATTTGACATCTTCTAGCCTGGTTGTGTCCATGTAAACAGGAAGTTTTGCAGTATATGTAGAGAGAAACATTCAATCTAGGATCAAATGAATTTGTATCCATGGAGAATTCTTATGAACCAGATGTCTTTGTAAGTGTTAACTGGGGATAGAGAGAAGCACTTTCTAGTTAAGGAGAACTTATCTTCTGCTGTGGTTATTGCAGGCCTTTTTCCAGCTTTATTTTTTGAAGAGGTTTTTCTGTACCCTGACCTTCTGTTACACCAGTAGAATTGAGATTCTTTCAAAGAATTGTATTTTGCTCATTTTTCTTCTTAAAGGTTACCTTAGCTTAAATTGGTTTTGCTTGAGTACATATCAAAATGAAATTTAGTAAACAAATGTAGCTGTTTAATATCAGACAACAGATTGCTTTTGTCCTTGAAATATTCCAGATCTGTCTTCTGTCTGCTTAAAAGAAATAGTACATAGCACTAGAACAACAACAACAACAACAACAAAAACCATCAAAAGGTCATCAGCACTTGCTGGAAAACTTATTTAGCAAATATTTAACATTTAGTGCAGTTTTAGTGTCCAGTTTCAGCATAAGCACTATAAAAGAGCTGCATCTATTTGTATAAAAGGAAGTTAAATTGCCACTTTAGATCTGGGTACCCAAAATAAAATGCTATTCAAATGTCATTATTCATAGTTATGAGCCTTCTGTGCCAGATATATTGAAATATATTGAAAGGGAAACTGCTTTAGCAGGTGGGGATGGACTGGATATCTCCCGAGGTTCTCTTCCAATCTCTATGATTCTGTGATTATGTGAAATAGAGACATCAGGCTGAGGCAGTAACTTCCTTATAGCTCTCAGAGCCTCTCCAGTCCCAGAACGTTCCCCTCCAATATGGTACCTGTTGAGCTTCATCTAATCCTCTCCATCTCTGTCTGGCTATTTCCCAAAAGTGAAGAGCATGAGTGGACCTGGGAACGCTTTTTACAAAACTGTTGTTGAGCTGGACAAAATTCTGAAGGGGGCTCATAGAAAGAAAGGACAAAATTCATTCCAAACCTCAACACATCTTTTGGGGCTGGGGAAAGGTGTTTCTGGGCACCGGTCTGCTGCTTTTGCCTGCCGTCTATCACTGAATAAGATGCAATTAGTAACAGGGCTCATTGGTTCTTCTTGACCTCTTTTCGGGTTTCATGACATCCTTCAGCTTCCAAAGATCCCATGTAACTACTCTACTTCAGATGTGGAAAATGAGTCTCTAATTAGCACATTTACTACAGATCATTATCACTGTGTGCTACACAAGATTGCAAATTTGTCACATAAAAGGGCAATATTTTCATTGCTGAAATGTGTAATTTTAACCAGCATTTTTTAATGAAAGTTCACAATAGTAGTGGGGGAAAAAACAGTAGGGAAGATTTTATCACATGAAAATTACATTTCAGGAAAGAAAAAAAAAAGTGAAGAATTGCCATGGGAGTAGGGAGAATTAAATCACATAATACTTTCTGGGTATGACTGAGATGAGCAATTAGTGTGCTATGGATCATTAGGTCCAGTAATAACATGTTACTTCAAACTCCTCAACCTTTCTTCTGTTTCAATACAATCTGTTAGAAATACTCTAAGCTACTTTGAAGTATGGCATCTCTATATCCAAAATAATTCAAATCACAAGGAACAACTTAACAAATGAAAGACACATTTAGTAGAAAACTCTCCCCTCCCCCATTATCCACTGCATTTGATATCAGACAACTGGACCTTTCATCCCTATTTCTTCAAGTTGCATGTTTAATCTAGTATAACAAGGGATTTTTATTTTTATTTTTATTTTTTTGTCAATCAGGAATACAAAATATTTTGGCTTATTCTTGTTTTCCTGTGCATTAGATGTAACTGCAGACCATGTCTTTTCCTATGCAGGTGCACAGAAATTATATAACTTTTTCTTTGAAAACTGAAAGGAGATACATTTAATGCTTTACAAAGTTGATAATTTGCAAGTCTGTTTGTTGCATGCCAATGAAGAGTGATTTGAGCTGGCATTACAGAAGCCCTCTGTAGTGCTTGATCTATGTTTTTTTTTTTTCGTGACTACACGAAGAGAATAATTCCACATATAACATTGTTCTGGTCTCAGAATATAATTCATGCATCAGCTGAAGGAGACATTCTGAACATTACTGAAGGAGACATTCTGGAGCTCAGATAGAAGAGATTTGGTTAGTAGAGTGAACCACCGCAATGCTTTTTAAAATTTGATGTTGAAGATTGCTTTTAAAGAAGGAAGAGTTTGACCTTCAGACTTTCAACAATATTAAGTCAAAATTGTGCAGCATGATTTTTAGTCCTATTTCCACTCACCCCTCACAATTTTAGTATTGATCTTTCCCGACATAGAGAACTGTTTGATCTCTTATCTTCTGTACTTTGATGTTCATGAGTATAGATACTATCTGAGGAAACTTCTTTGCGTTACAGGTCGTTAAGTTACGGTGCCATAGGAGTAATTGTTGGCCATGAATTTACTCATGGATTTGATAGTAATGGTGAGTGTTGTCCATATGTCAGTAACTTTTATTTTTCTTACGGAGTTGACAGATTTGTGAAAATGCCAGAAAGATCATTTGTATATGCTTTAGCTCTTTCATTATTTCTTCTTAACAGTGCTGAATTTTCTGAAAAGAATTAAGGTTCTGCTGCATTGTTCAAGCTGATAAATTCCCTATATATATAATTTCTGTAATGGGAAGCTAAGAACCTGGCCAAGGGGCAGTAGTTTGCCCAGAGAAGAAAATCTTAGGTTCTTGCTCTGACTGGCTGGAGAGATGAGATGCTCTTCTAAAAATGAGATGGAACAAGGACCCAAGGCTGAATTTTCCATGAGTCACTGCTGTAACCACCGGTCTATGGAATGAGACATATGTATTCTCCTTGCTTTCTTACTCCCATATATGTAGTTCAGATGTTCTGGTTCTGCTCCAAACCCAAAATGCAAATTTCAGAAGTTCCCATGACACAGATATTTTTTTTTTTCTTCTTTTGCTTAGTTTAACTTTTGCTTAGTAGTAACTAGTAACTAGCAGTAACTAGTAACACTAGCAAAGAATGACTTGAGCTGGTATTACAGAAGCCCACTGCAGCCTTTAATCTATGTTCTTTTTCATGACTGCGCTAAGACAATATTAGAGAATAGACTAGTCATTATCAGGTTTGCAGAATCAAAGGTCAAGGAAGAAAAACACAATTATATTTACAAGAAAGCTCTTATATAATTTTAAAACATGCTATAGAACTCATTAATAATTACTATTTTTTTCTACAACTGAAGAATAGAATAACAAATAGAATCCATGCTGTTTACTACTAAGTTGACTGAAAACAAGATTTTGCCTGCTGATTTTAACTATTTTGTATACCACTCATTCTTGTGCAAGTGCTGGATTCCAAAACTGGGAAAGAATGTTTTGCTTGTTAGTTTTTGTTTTTATTGTTTTTGTTTGCTTGCTTTTGTTTCGCTTTGTTTTTTTGCTAAAAAGCTTGTTTTCTTTCTTTAATTTGAAGGTCGGAAATATGACAAAAATGGAAACTTAGACCCTTGGTGGACAACTGGCTCTGAAGAAAAATTTAAAGAGAAAACAAAATGCATGATTAATCAATACAACAATTACTACTGGAAGAAAGCTAGCTTACATGTTTGTAAAACACCAGTGATTGAAAGCACTGGTTTATTTTATTTTATTTTTTTTTCCTTAAGCTATCTGTTCATAAATGCAAACATATTGAGATATTGGCTACTGCCTTCCTTTCTCACAACAAATCATTTTCTAAAGTGAATTACTGTGATCAAAATTGTCTGTCAGATTTGATTAGTCCAGTCAAATACCAGTACCCTTACACTGGTGACAGGGCTAAAAAGTTTCTCCCTATCACATCACATTGGAAACAGAGGCAAGAAGATGAAGCCACTCGGCAGAGCTGGTCTAATTTCTGTGAGCATGTTGATTGTCTTCCAAAGATTAGATCAGTAATGAAAACTGAGCAGCCACTCTTTTTAGAAAGAAGAATATAATAGCAAGTATTATATACTCCTTTAGAAATTCTTGTTATTTGTTACAGCTTTAGAAGAATTTACATAAACCCTACTTTATTTCACATTCAACTCTTACAGTTTCTTTCATGTGTGCACACAGACCCAAATGTAGGGAGTACTATAGCAGAAACTCACAGAAAATGCTTAAGAAAGGAAGTGCAAGGAAATTGTTTCTGTTTCACTGTCTGTCAGAGATACAGTCTTCTCTGAAAACGAGCAACTTATGTAAGTGTCCCAGATTATGAATAAACAGGATAAATTCTAGGCCTTCTGAAATCAATTGCTAGAATTCCAGTAACATTGCCTGGGGCATGATTTTAATCTTTATTTTCAGGACAAAACACATTTTCGCCCCTCTACTCAATATCATCACCTCTACTTACATCCCAGAAGCATAAATGCAATAAATTCTTTGCCTTTCAGGAACTGAGATGTTGTACTGAATGCTTAGCGATATTTTTAATACTTTCCCCAGGCTGTTTGTATTAGTCTCAGAGGCAATGAGACCATACTGTAGTCCAATTTGAAGTCCATCAACTGAGAGCTGAAATAGCTCATGTAAGGTAACTTGCAAATAAAAATTCTCAGGCTTGCTCCTGAATATCAATAGGAAAAGAACTATCAATACAAAAATATCACTTAGAGGTCATCCAAATCTTCCCAGAGAAAATGACTGTCACTATAATGCTCCTGTCTTTGGCTCAGCCGTCAGCCTTATTTTCTACAGGTTCCTCTTGGTGTATAGCTGAATTTTTTGCACCACCACCTTGGAAGCTGGTGGATGGGCTTACAGAGAGATTCTGTTACCCACAGCCTCATTGTCTGTAAGGTTGTTTTCTCCTATTTCTGTGAAATAACCTATAGCATGTTTTAGAGGACAGAAAAAAAAAATCTTGATATTTTCTGCTGTGTTTTATAGATTCTGAATGAAGAGGTATGCATGCAAAGGGCTTTTTTTCCTGCCAGTTATTTACATCAATATTCATATATTCTGGTTTTTTACTCCTGTATTGTACATTTTAAATATTTTACATGAATCAAGAAACCTATTTACTCTTCCTCCTTCTCATTCAGTTTACAATAAAAATGTCTCCAGAAAAGAAGAGTAATGAAAGAAAAAGTGGATATAGAAATAGCTTCAGAGTGCAGTAATGACATAAAGTCATCTGATTAAATAAAAAACTTATCTTGGTCCCTGAGCCCTGTCATGAACTGTCTATACACTGTAGTCTCAGAGCTGCCTGAGATCAACAGAAAGACTTCTTCCACTTATTAAAATGACCTTTGGCTCACATGCCGCTGCAGGATTGCTCTCATCTTATGCTCTAAATCAGTCTACTTCACAAGATCACTGAAAGAAAAGTGTACAAGGATGTAGGCCAGAAAAAAAAAAAAAAAAAAAAAAAAAAAAAAGAAAGAAAAAAAGAAAGAAAAAAAAAGAATTTATATATTTGCATATTCCCTGGTGTCTTTTCTCCTTATTATCTCTCTCCCATCTCCACTCCAGCCTTCTGGATGGATGGACAACAAGTAGGAAAGGAGCTGCACTTTCCACTTCTGCTTCCATTTCCCCTTGTTATATCCTTACCAGGTGCCAAGCATGATGCCTTGGTTCTGGCCTGGGTGCTTGCCTGCATAAAGTGGTGATGCTGTATTCATGTACCCTGACATGCCATGGACTCACTGACTTTTTCTACCCCATTTTCTTCTCTTCTGCAAACATGAAACAAAGCTGGTTACTGAACCCATCCCCTCTACACTCATCCCCTGAGGCATGGGAGAGTCTGTCACTAGAGGATTTACAGGCAAGCATTGACCTTCAGTGCTTAGCTCAAAACTGTCCTCAATTATATTGTTCATTTTAGGCACAGTAGAGAGTAAAACTGCTTAATTACAAATACAGCCTGGTAGCACCAAGACCCTCTCTGCTGGGTGATCAGAAGTAATGCTGTCCTTGCAGAAATGAGGAGCTCTTCATGATGTTATTGCATTTTCTCATACCAGGAGACTGACTTTTTCAGAAAGTTCAGATACTCAGAATATATTCTTGTTTCCATTACTTTTGCTCTTGGAATGAATAATACGGAAAGCAGGATGAATCTTCTTTACAGATATTTTTGGAGCACCGAAAATACTATCAATTTCAATTCAGTCTCTGACAGCTATTTTAATTATGCTATTTTATGTTATGACTTAGAAGTTATTTTAGCATTCCAGTAGTATATAAAATTTATGTAAAGAAACAAACATAACCTCTTAGATAAAAGTTTAAGAAAGGGGCTACTGGATCTCATGTGTAACCAGAGAAAAACAGTCATTGGAGTAAATTAATTGATGCTCAGACCAAAGACCAGGAATGGGATTTTTATGTGCATCTCCTACATTTTGTGCTGTAGAGATCAAGGCCCTGAGTCAGGATAACTTTTCACAAATAATTATCTACCGACAGTATTCACATTTAAAACCAGTTTTTTTAACTCGAGATATGGTGCTTGAAACTGTCTGAAGTTGTTCTTGCCTTCCTTTATTTTTTTACTCTGTCTCTTGAAGTTGATCAAGAAGGAAGTTCAGAAACAGGTCAAACGATGGATGTCTTTTCATTCTGCTAGGTAAATGGCAAGAGGACCTTGGCAGAAAACATTGCAGATAATGGAGGTTTGCGAGAAGCTTTCAGAGTAAGTACATGAAAAATATGTGGAACACATTATTTGAAAAGAACAGAGAAAGTTATACCCATGTCACTGAAGGGCACTTAGTACATCTCTTTCTAATCAGGCATACAGGAGATGGATTAGAGAAAAGAGAGGAGGAGAAGAGGAGCCTTTACTGCCAGGCCTTGACTTCACGCACAACCAGCTTTTCTTTCTCAGTTATGCTCATGTGAGTAGTACAGATGTTTTTAAGAACCCATCTATGGATGGCACAGACTCCTTTGCTTCAACAATCTATACCAATCAGACTCTGAATTTTAAGGGTATGCTTAAGTTTTTCTTCTGCTTTGTACAGTGTTTTCTCATTGCAGCTCTCTTCCTTCTTGCTGCTCCCATGCAGTGCAAAGGTTATTTTGCACATATTGTCTCTACAACCTCTTTCGATATTAGCATCCTGCTTTTCTAGTGCTTACAATAAGCAGCATTTTATCACTGCTTTCCACCAGTAGTCTATCCAACACAAATTCCTGGTGCAAGTGTACTACCACCATTTATTACTGAGCATGTTGTTCAGTGAAACTAAGCAGAAATGTGGAAAGTCTTTGTGGTATTTTTTTTTCCCCACATCTTTGTTTACTGTACACTAAATGCACAGTGGTATAACTTTGATAGAGGATGTGTTTTTAAGAGAATAAGTAGAACAAAGGAGAGAATCAGAAGTGATTTATCTGTTTAAAAGAATTGGATCAACTCCTTGAGCTAAAAAATTGCTCTAACCAGCAGAATGAATGAATCATCTGAAATTAAGAAACAGGACTCAATGCAACCAGTGTCAGTCTTGAACCAACCCAGCTGAAAATCATTTCTCCTATGTCAAGAGTCAGAGTAGCAGTGTACATACAGGTCTATGACCACTTAGGTTTGATGGTATTAACTGATAAAAGGACTGTGTTTGGGTATTTTATATTGAAGATCATATATCCCATGGTTGGTCTGGCTTAAAGGATTTTGTTGATGGTAAACACTGATCAGTGGGGACTTAGATAAAGTAAAGGCTGGTAAATTGAGTTTTTCAATGCATAAGAGCATAAGAGTGATCATTCAGCTGTGCTAATAGTTTCTTTACCTTGCTTAGTGGCTGGTTACCTTTGCGCCAAATGTTCTATTAGGAATTGGGAACTGGAGACCACTGATAGAAAGTTGAAGGAAATGTCATTTCAAAAGAAACCACCATTTCAATATGGGACAAATGTCAGGTAATACAGATGCAATTCTAGAGATGAGAAGCATCATTACATGCACCTTTGTGCATTACGTGGGTTTGAAACAAAAAAATATACTTAGTAATTATTAAAATGGGAGGTGCTCCCGTATCTGAAAAGCTGAAAAGCAAACTGCAATTAGGAGTATCTCAAAAACAGAGAAACGGCAGAGTGCTTATGGCTAGATGGTGGGAATGAGTGGGTGGAAAATAACAGCAGGTGGAGACTGGATCCATTAAGGGATTTCAAAAACAAGGGAATATATCAGGAGAGCAAAGAAAAGGTAAAACAAAAAGAAGAGTTAGTGTTGTCTTTCCATTTTGCACATTCTGTAAGTAACAAGCATACTGAAAACTGACATTACATTCTGCTTTACTTACAAATTTACCCCATATAATATACCTATTTCTTCTTTTTATCTTTTATTAGGTAAGATGCAACTCGTTCAGATCAGAGTCTGCAAGAGAACAAATATATATTGGAGCTCACAGCCCTCCTATGTTCAGGTAGTGCAAATAATGTATTCACTCAGTATATATACAGAATCAATCACTGCAGCACACAAATGCAGAAATTTAGCATGTTAAGAGGAGTTTAAGTGCAAACAAAATCAGACTGTGCTTCTGGTCTAGACTGAAAGTCAAGTGTTTTTATTAGCTTATATTCTGCTATTACAAATATTCTGTAAAAATGAGAAGCTTGCATCTACCTTCTTTGAACCAGAATAATCATTTGAACCAGAATAATCATAGCATTTGAACCAGAATAATCTCTGATCCTTGTGTCATTCTATAATCAAGCCCTGAATATAGGAAATGTCTTTTCTATCACTTTTCTTTTCCTATGCAATTCTAGATCAGATAACAATGAATATTAGGAAGATTCTTGATTTAGTCTGCCTGAGTTGAGTAAAAGTTTTCAAGAGAGTGCCTTGAATTATATTGATAATATACAGGTAGAAATGCAAAGCAAAACATGTTCTGTAGGTTCAGTTCAGGATTAAGTTCAGCTCTTCAGTTGTCCTTCAAGAGACACAATTTTTGAAAGAGCTGCAGTTATCCAGCTTAACAGCTTGTCAGCATCTTTGCCCATGGTGCCTTCAACAGGTTCTCATGATCACTGAACATCAAGAAGAGGCTTAAAGACTACATAAGAATTATGAAGCCATTTTATTTCTCTGCATCTCCACAGTTTGCATAACCAACAGCAAGCTGTTTCTGCTGAGATTAATGCCTAACTACAAACTGTGTCTTTGCCCTCAGTCATGTGGCTATGTTACTTCTTTATTTGGGGGAAAGATGTTAATTCCACACACTGATATATAGTGAAAGCATCTCCAGTACAGTGGATTAGTTGCTTTCTGGAAATTCCTACCATTTTCTACTGACAAAAAAGGGAACTGGGATATGAGCATCCTTTGCCCCAGTTCTCTCTTGGTAGAAGAAAAATAGCAACACTGCCTTCACATGGGAACTGTGAGGTTGCTTCACAGACTGAAAGGGACAGTTAGTCTTATATATTACCTAGACACAGTCGCATCTAAGTTAGAGATATAAACACTGTATATGTAGCACATCTTGGGGTACTTGTCAACAAGAATGAGTTAAGAAATAATGAAACTATGAACTTGTTAACAAGAATTTAATATAAGGTAGCACTGCAGATGACAGTGCTTGCTCTTGGCAGACTTCTTTACTGCACATTTGCACTATTGCACCTTTGTAATCCTTGCCACTTTAGTTAAGGTAAAACAAATGTGATATACAGATCTGCATGCCTTTTAACAATTGAAAAATGCTTCACATCAGTGAAAACTGAAATATCGAGCTGATCTTCAGCCTACAGAGTGGTATTTTCTATAATTCCCACACTATCAACTTTTGGTAAAATAACTATTTTTTGGCTTTTAGAGACCTCAGATTTATTTACCTTTCAGTATATACTGAATCATCAGGTAGCTACATTCCCATGAGATAGTACAAATCATAAAATATAAAGGGGAGCCTGAGGATAAGGCATTCATGAGGAAAAATTCATATTTAGCTGAAGGAATCAAGTTATGGAAGAAAATTACAGAGATGATCAGATGAATTTTGAGTCAGAAAGTATAGACAAATCTTTCTCTTAGTTTTTATGTGAGATACTCAGAATACTTCCATTTCAGACTCAGAGAAACCTTGGTGCTTGTCTCTTCTTCCAAATTATATCAACTGTGCTAGTATTATCCACTTGCCCCAAGTTCCTTCATTTAAGTCACAAGACCACTGTGACCACAACAGCAGTATGGCATCTTTCCAAATTGACAATTCTTGCTATCCAAAAAAGCTCAAACAACCCTTTGCAAATAATTATAAAATGTAATCACGTAAGAAGATAGAAATAAATATGTATCTTCAGCATAGATATGTGCATCTGAGCTAGTCACCCCCACTTCTCTTCATGCTCCAAAAAGAATGGGCATTTGGAAGGTATATCTTACCATCTTGAAAATAAAAAAAGCTACATTAAATGGCTTTGCAAGTGAGCCTTTCTGTTAGCAGTCAAGGAAGCCCAGAGTGATCCTTTCAGGGGAAGGTGTCTGCTGCAGTTCAATGGAATTAAATCCAGACAGCCCACTTCTGATCCCATGACTAATGTGTGGCAATGTCAAACTTGTTTTGAACTGAAGTTCCAAAGTGAAGTCTACAGTGTTCTTGGAATAATACCCACCAGGTTCAGTAGCAGTTATGGATAAGAAGCTCTTGCTTTTACAGTCCCTGAATATGTATTTGTGATGTTTTTATGGTAAACCTGTTCCCCCAAACACATTTTGTAATTCTCCCTACAAAATTGACCTTTAGATATTTTGCACCAGCTGACTGCAAATTTTCATACCCACAGAAAGTCTAATCAATGTAATAAGAATGTAATCAATATAATAAGAATGTTTTCTACCTTGCTGAGCTATCCTGAGAAGCTGATTGTCCAAAATGGAGAAAAATGCCTTCCCACTGCATAGCAAAGAGTAAGAAATGCATACAATTAGTATCTCAGTAGATACTTTTCTGCTTTTAGCTCAGGATGCTGTTTATTTTCATACCATTTCAAATTTAAGGTTAGTAAATTCCAAGATGCTTAAAAGCATGCAAAAAAAAAAAAAAAAAAAAAAAAAAAAAAAAA